AGGTTCAGATAAAAGAGCACAAGGTTTCAAAGGGACAGCTAATGACAAACTGTATGATTCTACAGTTACTGGATGACTTTCAGGCTGGCCAGAGTGGATCCCCAGGTGTGCTTTCTCTTTGTTTTTTAGGTGTGCTAGTTCAGGAAACACCTCTCCCCCCTTGTCTAATAGGGGCATTACTCTTCTGCGAAGTGGCACTTGACCAATTGCTTGCCATTTTAAAGGTCAATAGAAAGCTGTTGTAATGAATTTAATTACTAGCTGAACACTCATGTCAGTACAAACTTGATTCATTGTCAGGTGGGGATCATTAATAAAACTGAGTTAGTGTAGTGCTACCGCCCTTGCAGACAAAAATATGTATTTTGGGGATAGCTTCAACTTAAACTAAGTTAAACTAAGTCCATTCACACTAACAAAGCTGAGAGACATGCAAGTAGACAGAAACACACAAATTAATGAACACCTTTACACCAGGTTTGCACTCAATGACATTTGCACGCACACAAATACAATTTTAAACATTGTAAGCCGCAGCTCCCTAATGGATAAGACGTCAAACAATTCCACAGCAATGCTATGAGCTTCTGGGTCTAGCCTCTGTGAAAATGATACCTTCAAATGATCAATATGTGAGCATGTTTCAGGTCTGTCTTATGCACACACACACACACACACACACACACACACACACACACACACACACACACACACACACACACACACACACACACACACACACAAACAAGGGTGATTCAGGTGGGTTAAGAAGATGGTGAAACTGATAATAGGTTTTTGATTAACTGCATCAAATCATAAAAGAAGCACTGGCTAAGGACTTATCAGCAGCTTAGGTTGGTTGGTTGTGTTTATATAAGACATTAGATTGTATTACTGGTTAGCTTTCAGAGGACAGATATGGTAGTAGTGCTTGCATGATGTAGACCAGTGGCTCCCAACCTTTTTCCTTAAGGGACCCCTTTTCTATCTATCTATCCATCCATCCATCCATCCATCTATAACAATAACAGCACAGAACAGCTAATAAACTGTACAATAAACCCAAACAGTGAACACAATAACTGCAGGAAGTTTGTGTAAAACCAGAGATTTGGATGGATTTCAGCAGGGTATTTCCTGTGAATATTGAGTTTTCCTAATATTTTTAGACAATGCTCTGTCTGTATTGTGTATTTTTAGCACGCTTAACAGTCATACAGACTTAAAAGGCCTATTTTCTGACAGATTCAGTGTTTTATTCTCATTGTTCAATTAGCTCTTTGGTTGTTTTCTAATGCAGGACGAGGCTGTTTATCAGAGAGTCAAGGTTAAAAATAACTATTTAATTTAGTTTTCTTCACATAAATTAACTAAATGCTAAAATATAGACCAAGTGTGTATACTTTTTAAGTTTTATTTTATCCTTTAAAATCAAGAAGGCCTTGCAAACCCCCTAGTGGGGGTCCTAACCCCCAGGTTGGGAACCACTGATGTAGACAGTAACATTAATTTGGAGTGGTATCCATGTTTCCTATGTCAATTTAATATTTAACATAAAAGTTTCAGTTCTGATTAAATGTTTTGAGACGGCAGACCCAAGTCATATGCTCACACACCAGCACTTGCAGAGTACATATTTGCTGCAACGTGCCCGTAGCGCTGCATTGTTAAAAGCACATACACATAGAAAAGCATGTGCACAGACACAAGCACACACCTACGCACAAACACGCACACACAATCTGTCGGACATATTTTCCTGCTCAAGGAAGACAGGAAACAACTCTGACAGCCTATAAATTGTGGGCACACACACATTCACACACAAGCATAAGAATACAGTTGGAAACAGCGGGCAGGTTATCAGTTAGAGAGACATATGGAAGTGCTTGTCGTGCAGAAATTTCCAACAATAATGACAGACCTCTTAGTTTAATTTCTCACTGACAGTCTGATGTCTCCCTAGGAGGATTCACAAACATAGTTTTAGGGACCATAATCATCTGTGTAGCTGCATCCATGGCGCTACCCCAGGCAAGGCTACAGGTTCAGCTGCTGCTACTGACACTAAAACTATGAGACTTTAACCTCAATATAAAAAATTAGCTGAAGGCTTTGAAACAAAGATCCACCCTGAATAAAAATTCACATTATTTTTACAACTTATTTTTAATTAGTTTGAGATAAGCAGCAAAGATAACACTGTGGTAAGAATGTTGTTAATTCTGGAGCTGCTTTGTGAAACGTCATTGGACACACAAAGCAAATATGGGATGGGAAGCTTTTCTGTTTCACTGCTGGGGACTGTGCAATATGATGATATGTATTATGGTGAGACAATATAAAAACATCTATCATTTCATATTATGCTCTATAATTTATTAAATTGGGTTATAAATCACACTCTTTCACTCCTGCAATATTTTCTGTCCATTCGGATGACGCTTTGCATTCTTCCGCACAGCACAGATGCAGGCAGGAAATTTGCATGAAGGCAACACAAACAAACATGAAGGAGAGTGAACGTGACACAGAATGAGGTAATTGGAACAGGAGAAGGACTCTGGCCAGCCAAGACAAAACGAGAAGCTTTTACCTACGAACTTCGAACTTGGTTTGAGAACCAATCTGAAACAAACCAGAAAACCGCACTTTGCAAATTAATGCAAATTGTCTTGGTCCCCACACCACTAATCTATTTTGCCAACCACGCAAGAATCATCTCAAACAGTACAGAGTGAAAATGTAATAAAAACTGTTATATAAAATAAAAAAACATAAAATATAAGTAGGTACCTTTTATTTCTTGAGTATATAATTCAAAATCAAATAAAAAAGTAGGCCTCTCCATGTGGTCGCTTAATAAAATGTGCTGTGTTGTGACATTTATCGTCATCTGGATATGAAATTACCTATATCGGGATAAAAGATTTTTGTCATATTGCACACCCCTAGCTGGGAGCCCTAAAATCAAATTACATTTATTTTGGTGTAGTTACAAGCTCACATCACTTATTCCAGGTGTCAAAGCACTTAACCCAAAAAGTCTGACATCATCTATTCAAGTCTTAATGCTCACCAATCCAGAAATTGACTAATTTGTGTAAATTCACTTAAAGGACCAGTGTGTAGGATTTAGTGGCATCTAGTGGTGAAGTTGAAGATTGCAACTAACTGAACACTGCTTGCGTCTCTATTATGTATGTAACTGAGAATGAGAAACATGCAACAAATGCTCTATCTAGCCCCTATCTAAAGCGAGTGTTTCGTTTGTCTGTTCTGGGCTTCTGTAGAAACATGGCGGTTCAACATGGCAGCATACGTGGCTTGTAGATAAAAACAGCTCATTCTAAGGTAACAAATACGCAACGATTCGAAATACAAATACGAATACGAAAACATATTAATGAATATTATATTCCATTTCTGCCAATAGGTCCTACTAAATGTTACACACTGGACCTTTCAACTTTTTTGGGGTACTTACAAAAATGTTTATTTCCGGGAATAAAATCATCTATGATTTAGATTTATTGTATGTTCACTGGTGATATTTAGCATTCACTAAAAGGAATATCTTGCATTCCTTTTACAGCACCATGAGGTGCTGTGAATACATGAGACAAAACTAACAAAACTGCATCCTCGCGAAGTTCCACAGTAAAGCATGTGTTAACAAAAACACTACGTACGTCCTCAGACACCCCCCCCCCACACACACACACACACACACACAGACCCTTTGCACATTCAATCAGGGATTACAATGATATTCATTTAACCAGGCTATACAAATGCAAATGCCTGACATGTGAGCCCAGGCACTCTGGTTGTGTAGTTCAACATCGCAGCGACACTGTTCTGTGAGACACTTTGATAAAGCCAGATCAAAGGAGAGTGAAGAACAGGCATTCAAGACCTCCAACAATAGCCCTCCTTACAGAGTGCCTGTAACTGGCTTATAAAAGCACATGAATGAATAATGATTAGATTTGAGGGTACAAATGTCTGTAAACAAGCCATATAAAGGCACTCTGAATTTACCGAGGCTATAAAGGACAGATGCGCCCACACATGCTCAGACACACAGCTGAATATACACTCATTCACACACATTATATCACACACCTCTGCTCAGGTGTCAAGTGAAAAGGCGTGGTTTGCCAACTAAACCTGGCCAACTCTAACAAAATACACAGTCCAACGTGAGGCTTTACATTGAGGTGTATTGTAGTTAGAAACTGTCTACTGGGATTTGATGCTGCACATCTCTTTCCTAAATCTCCCCTGTCCTCTCCGTCATCTCCAATTCACCCATCCCTATGAAATCTTCTTTTCCCTTAAATTCTGCCTCTTTCATTCACCATCCACATTTCCTTTCCCCTGCTCTCATTCCTTTCACTTAGTCTTTTCACCTGTGCCCTCTTGCTATTTCCAACACTGGACCCCTATAATCCACTCTCACTCTCTCATATTTTTTTCCATCTCCTGTGGTCAGTGTCCTGTCCTCTCCCCTCCTTCATTTTTGTGCTCTCAATCATTTATAAATCTTTGCTCTTTCTCTTTCAACACTCTTTCTTTGTCACTGCTCCTTCCATTTCTCTATCTCGCTCTCTATGTGCATCTCGCTACTATCATGCTCCTTCTTTTCCTGTCTCCATTTTTATCCCCTTTGCGCAGCCCCATGCTTCCAAAGCTTTATGCTCCCACTGTGAGTGTTATGTTGGCAGTTTTGACACACTTATCTTCATTTTCGACTACATCTTTCCCTCTAGCCCATCTTTATGCCTACCTTACTTCCACTGGGTTATGCACTAAGTACATTCAGAGATGTGGCAAAGCATTTCTTTTCCAGCATTCATTTTGTATCCTCACACCTCTTTCTACTTCTCCTCCTTTGGAAAGTAGCATGATAGCAGAAGCTGATATTTTACTACACATCTCTTTGGGCGTCTAGTTTTTAGTTCATCCCCATTCTCCCTTCCCCTGTGTTCTTTTACCTTTAGCAGGCGTACTGATGGCAGAAAGGCTGCATGGCACAGTTTTCTGATGGTCCAGTTGAGTGGCCGTGGTGCATCCAGCTGGTTCATGGTGCCCACTCTTCACGGTGGAGCCACTGGTGCCCGGCAGCTTTTCCCGGCACCAAGGTCAATGCTGCCCCACTAGGGGGGCAAAAATGGGAAAGGGTCTCCAACTCCAACTGCCGAAAAGCACACAAGTCCCAGGGCATGACCCTCGACGGACAACCATCAACCACTACCGCCACCACCTTGAAGCCTTTACTTCCCCAAGCAGATGAAGCTCTCACCTGGGCAGCTCTCTGCCCACTCTCCCCTTCCTCCCTGTTCTCTCCTCCTCTCCGGCCCACACAGATCCAAAGAGTCCAAGGCAAGCCAAACCTAGAGCACCAGGAGCATCTGAATCCTCTTCCACCAGTAGCTGGAGTGTACTCAGCCCTGGCGCGAAAAAACCCAGAGTGTACAGTATTTTCCCAAACAATGGAGCAGAGCGCAGCAATGCACAACAGAGATAAGCCTGTAGTGTGAGAGGGATGCAGGTAGAGAAAGAGAAAGAAGAGAGCAAGAGAAGGAAGAGAGATGGAGATGAGAGGAGAGACGAGCAGTGCAGTGCAGTGCAGTATAGCGCATAGGGGAGAGGAGAGGAAAGGAGAGTAGCGCAGAGCGCATAAACGGAGCAGCCTGACAGGCAGCGGCTTAGATTTGAGGCTGCATGTCTCCAAGATGAGAGAAAGAGAGAGGGAGGGAGAATGGAAGAGAGAGAGACAGTGAGATGGGAGAGAGAGAGAGAGAGAGAGAGAGAGAGAGAGAGAATGGGGAAACATAAAATAACATCCAATACAATTGATGAACAAGCTGAAATTGAAACTATGGGGATAGGATGAAAGAGAAAACAATTGCATCTGTGCTTGGAAAAAAAAGAGGAGCAATGGAGAAAGAGTGAGAGAGAGAGAGAGAGAGAGAGAGAGAGAGAGAGAGAGAGGGCAAGATGGAGAGAATGGGAAGAGAGGTGTGATGAGGCACTGTATGGTGGTCAAAAGGGAAATGAGAGAATTGGAGTCAACACTCCGTCTTATAGAGTGAATTCTGATTGTGCTGGAAGATGGAAGCACATGAAACAACTTGGTACCGTGGCAGCGCAGAGGAGTACGACCTACTTACTGATTTGCACGTGTTAGACATTATATGAATGCATAAAATGCCTTAAAGTGGTTAAACAAGAACACAAAAACATTTTGTGATTATCATTTCTGAATGCCTCTCAGCATCTCCACCTATGTGTGCTGGCATACATGTTGAGCTGCAATTATAAAAACAGTAGAAAATAAATAGAATAAACAATTCACTTTCTCCTTTACCTATTTTTCCTTTTAAGACCCAAACTGCAATTCTTGAAATGAGTACATTACAGGTGTATTCATGTATGTGTGAATGTGTGACTTTTAACTGTTGGAGCATTAGTCCGAATAGAGACTTCCTAATTTGATGTGTCTTCAAAGTCAGGTGTTTATCAACAATATAAAAACGTGTGTGTATATATGTATTTAAACCTTACAGTAAGATAACAGTATTTTACATTAATTACATTTAATCAGGCTCTTTACACCAAATTCCCTTTTTAATAACTGTAAGAACCAAATATTTTTTGTTTTATGCTGTACTTCATTCCAGCACCTTGGGAACAAATGCCTCGGTTTGACTAAAGGTTAAATCATCATTCTAACTGTCTTAGGGCAGAGGGAGAATTGAATTGTGTAGTGTTTACATGCTACAACCATCCACAGAGATATAGGAACCCAGAGTAAATTAACAATGGCAAACGTTATCAGTGTAGTACAGCTCTCAAAGACTTGAATGCTAGATTATGAAGCTCAGGGACAATAAAAGGTAAAATGAGCCAGCTATTTTTGCTTCATCTTTCTTGGTGTTCTGAATTTGGTGTGCCTTTATTTTTATTTCTAGTCACTCAGACTGTTTGTCTCCAGTGAGTTGTTGATTTAAAATACTCAAAACACCCAAATGCTTGTCATAACAAAAGATATGAAAAACTAAAATTAACAACTCTTTGTGATAGACTTGGCATGTTTGGACAAGTTGAAGAGTGATTGAGTGCGATGTGATTTTCCTGTGTAGAGAGATAAACACTGAAGGATCAGAGGTGTTAATGGCAGCACATGATGCCTCCTGTTAGATGTACCGCACACTGTCATTATATAAAAAAAAGGGTTCAAATTGATGTCACCATCATTGTTGCTGCATGAAGCATCAAAATATCTGAATATATCTGCCAACACATGCTCTAGCTTAGCTGAGGCATTAAATCTGTGCAAATAAAGGGTCAGCTTATGGACATGCATAAAAATGAATGTTTGTCTTAGATTTTAGCTTTCATAAAGCTCAAACGTAGTTAAAGCACCTCATTAAATGAAGCAAGACGGGCTGTCAAAGTTATCCTGGAAGCAAAATAAAGAACAAGAGTAATATGTAATAAAATAAAGAGTGTTTTCCTTCCCTTAAAGTGAAAACAATGCAACACAAAATGAAAAACACGAATGATATATTGCTATTTTGCTCTCAAACTACATCTTGCTTGCATGGTATTCTAGTATGAGTAAATGTCCTAATTAATCTCTTAAGTCATCACCTCACAGTAAGTAGGTGCTTTGCCGGGGACCGACATTAATAATATCCACCTCACTGACCACCGGCTCCCCTAGGGGACCTCCGAGACCTCTGGGAAATGTGTCTGTCAACCATATAGCTAGTCACTGTGGAGGTGTGGTGTGTGTGTGAGGGAGGAAGGGGTCTCAGGAAGAGTGTAGCATGAGAGTGTGCCTTTTCCCCCCTAACCTTCTCACTTCTCCATCTCACCCCGTGAAATGGTTCAGCGAACGCATCTAACTCACACTGCACTGTTTGCATCCTGACTCTAGATGGCACTCTTCTAATGCAGAATGACAAGCTCAGTCTAGGCCCCACCATTCAAACCTGAGTCCTATATCATGCTTTAAGAACACTTCTGAATCACTATCAAACTAGCGGTTACTTTACTACAATAGAACCAGAGTGACTGCCTTTTCATTACTAAATGAATCAGATGAAGTCTCGTCTGCATTATCTTCCTGCCTAAAAAAAAGCGACATACACGCTTCAACCACCAGGGGGCACCAGTTCAACACACCTGCTGAAGACAGAGTGTCCTGTGTGTTTTATCCTCTCACTCTTCTTGGCTACACTAATTATCACAGCGTTAAAAGGTATTAAAGCACTGGCAGAGAACAAGACCAGACAAGATGAGATTTAATTCTCTCACAGTGATTCATTTCTCCCCATGGGAACTTAACTTGGCAGATGAGGGAGGCAATTTACTGTGAATTACTAAAGTGCTTCAGAGAGCTTATATCAGATGGTGAATGCAAAACAATAAATATCCCAAAATGTTTTGTCACTCACGAGTATTACATGATAATTTATCTCAGAGCAAGTTGAGATTTAGGTGAATGGCATATTTATACACGAATCACTCCAGAATATTCCATCAACTTCAACAGATACTGCCCTGTAGGCATGGTATCATTAATATGCCAACGAAAGTCACTTTGCTCTGGTGCCAGTAGATGTGGATTTATGTGACATTAAGAATATGTAAATGTATGTGTGCATCAGTGAATGTCTGAATAATTTACTCACAACCTACAAGTAGTCGTGAGGAAACTACATTACATCATCAGCTGTATGTACGAGTGAGTGTGTGTGAGCGCATTGATGTGAAATAACACTGAGTGGGTGTTTTCTGTTGCCCATTTCTTCTTAGAGACATCTCTGGACCCCGTGACATCTGCACTGTGACAGAAGTGAGAACGAAGCCCATTTCCACCTGTCATTCACGCAAAGCCAGAGCTCCTGAGAAGCTGCTCACTCATTGAAAATGTGAATCCTCTCTGCTGGTATCTGTGTGAAAAATGCTTGTGAAAGAGTAGGGATCAGTGCGGGCATGTCTGAGTGAAAGAGATAGGTATATTAGTGGAATATTATTGTTGTATTTCATACACAACATTTTAATTGGTGTCCTGACAATATTTTCCAAAAATATACTGAATTGAACCGAACTTCCTGAACTGAATTGTGCAAGGGAAAGCAAGAAAGGAAAAAGGAATTGTTAAGTAGGATTAATAATGTTTTTTTTTTTATTATGGCTGAAGGGGAAAGCTAAATAAAAAAAAAAAATAAATTAAAAAAAAAAAAAAGAAAGGAAAAAGGTATGTGTTAAGTAAGTGCCTGCAGTCCAATATGAGACTACAAACATACTTAATATCAAGCTTTTTTACTGTACCAATAAATTTAAGAATAAAAGTCCCATATTTATACTTCCAAATTCCAAATTTTTTTATTTTAAAAAAAAAAAAAAAATAAAAAATAAAAAGAAAAAACAAAAAAAAAAAAAAAAAAAAAAAAAAAAAAAAAAAAAAAAAAAAAAAAAAAAAAAAAAAAAAAAAAATATAAAAAAAAAAAAAAAAAAAAATTTTTTTTTTACAAATGGACACAGCAGAGCAGCAAAATAAGAAGATGCTTTTTGTGGAAATAAACAAATTAGAATTGTTTTAGTGTTTATATTATCAGATGTTATAAACTTTTTTGTGAAATTTTGTCATGATTACCAGCATATATTGAAGTAAAATAAAATTTATTATTTTTACAGATGGCTGACAAAAATATAGAATATGGAATCTGGCAGTATAAATATGGGGTTTTTTTAAACCAACACAGACGTCTCGGTAACCCTCTTTACAGTCCTCCCATATGTGTTCAATCTGGTTCACATCATTGACATTCTCATCAAAACCTAAAGATCCTCGTGATCCTAAGTTTTTTTAATTTATTATATTATTAATTAAAAGCACCTGCATTTTGGTCATTGTTTCTCCACATATTCCATACATGCTGAGAATACTTTACACTCTAAATTTAAGTGCGGCGATTTAAACACGAAAATCGGACACACGGCGGGATAAACCCCACTCTACCACCCCCCTTTTTTTCTACAAAACACCCCCCTCAAAAAAAAAAAAAAACTTTAAAAAAAAAAAAAAGATTTTTTTTTTTTTTCTTTTTTTTTTGTTTTGTATCATTTTTTAAATTTCGCTCCCCCCTTTTTACCCAAAAAAAAAAAAAACCCTTTTTTTTTTTTTTTAATTTTTTTTTTTTAAAAAAAAAAAAAAAAAAAAACCCCTTTTTTTTTTTTTTTATCCTCCTTTTAAAAAAAAAAAAAAAAAAAAAAAAAAAAAAACCCCCCAAAAAAACCCCTTTTTTTTTTTTTTTTCCCCCTTTTTTTCCAAATCAACAACCCACATTAGTCTCCTAACTTTGAAAAATAAACACACATCGTGTCCTGCACCTTAGCCTGTTGAACAGAGACGTTAAATCATGCTATGACAAACCATAAAACAGTGACAATGAAAACAATAAATGTGTGAAGATCACGGCAGTGCAGGTAAAAATGTCACTATCTATCAACACAACTTTGCCTGTAAAGTGTTTCCTGAATAATGTATGTGCCTCATTATTGTTTGTAAGTGAGTCTTGTTTGAACGGTAGTTTCACAGAAAGGCAACCATTTGATTCCTCTTAGAAAGCTGTGATTCAGTTAATGAAGAGTATCCTGCTGATTCAATTACCATGTGTTCTGACTGAGAACAGTTAATATACTAACTGTTAATATAAAGTAAGAGTAGTCATCATTTTGCATAATGAGGACCAGAGTCAAGGCCCAGTGGTAGGAGAATATGTCATTTGGTGTGAACAGACTTTCCCACAACTGAATAAGACTCAAGAGATGTTCATTGACTTGCAAAGGAGACCCACTTGTCTTACTCTGACTATTATTAAAGCAGTACAAATAATTGGGAACCATAATGACAAACTTACATTTGATGCCAACTCT